CACTTGCTCTCCTCTGCAGCTTGGGAGAAGTTATAGGAAAGCTGGTGGCCTGCCTACTCCTAGGCTGAAACCTTGGCAGAGGAAGGGACAACTTCGAGGCGTCGGCGCTTGGCTCTCACAGTAGGGCCGGAAAATCGCCATGGTCGTTCGGACCTCATTCGGTTTATATTTTATCCAGATTGATATGAAAAAGGATCAAGTCGTCGACGTTGATCCATCCTTTTGATCCGGCACGCATTCTACTTTCATTCAGATTCATTGCATTGGCTTTATTGAAGGCGATGTGGCAAAATGACGGCCAGCCGATGTACAAGTCAGTGTTTTATCCTCCCAGAGTACCAATTTACCGTCCCCGGAGGGTAGAAGGCTTGGTTGGCCTGGGCGGGAGTCGACCCGGGATTCGAACCCAGGACCGCGCGCGGTGAACGTGGTGCGCCACTTGTCACTACACCTCCTCCTGCCCAGATCAATATAGAATCTGAGTTTTTCTGAGTCATCTGTGAAAGCTAAAATAATCGTAAGACATGTTGATAAGTTATTTGTGCATCCCATTACTACATTAAGAGTGTCGTTTCAGTGAACAAACCCATAGCTAGTGGTGGGCAAGGCTATGCACACTCCCCAAGTCGTCGTCATGATGCGCTCTATTATTACTTTTCACGGCTCGTAGCTCCTATTTGGAATCACGCCATATGCCGAGTAAAGAATGGAGTCGTAAGTTTATCATATAATATTATATTATATGGTGTTTTTACGGATTTGGTGATTTCGTGGTGGGGCGGAAGGTGGGAAGGTGTAACTTATCATTTTTTGTGGCTTTCAGCAGTCATAACAAGCTGTATTTCACTGTTCGGTGTAGTGCTGATAGCGTTATTTTCAGCTAATTACATCGTTGAGTTCGGAAGAGATGGATTGGTTGTCCAATGAGCTTCGAAAACTGGGCCAAGTAATGGAAAAGTATAACCTTTTACCTAAACCGGATGTCACGTGGAACAATACTGCAACAGGAAAAATGAATGGTTAGCTTTTTTAATTTGTTCGTATTGTTCTGTTGCCCTTTACAACTCTTTTGTTTGCATTTTTTTTTCTTTCCTCTCCAAGTTTTCTACATTTGAAAATGTTGGAACCTCGTTCACATAGTTAACCCCATAGCAAGAAAGATTATCGTTTTAGTTCAAGCCTCAAGCATGGAGCGACAGTCACTCGTGGCACTTCGGAAGTTAATTGAATCTTCTGCAGTCAGTGTTTGGAATTCTATTATTTTTTGAGTAGAGTTTTGTTCGCTGTGCATGAAAGAGCATGTGAAAAGGACGAGTTTTTAAGGGCTCCAAACCGTTTTCCGCCTATTCTTTTCGCTTATCCTCTACCGATAAAAGGAAGCGGGTTTGGCGCTGCGCCAAACCCGCGGGCATGCCCTTTCATCCTCTGCGTATCAATTTATGCACTTCATTGCTGTACTTCTATCTGCTTTTATTTTTACCGCGTGTTTCACTCAGGAAGTTCTCTCTTTGTGGTCATCGGCGAACTCGTTCGACTTGAAAGCGATTTCTGCAAGCATGGAGCCGGGGTCCCTCCCTACCTTGGCCGGACGTCCATTCTGCCATCTTGTCTGCGATGGTCAGCATCTCAATGGAGACCTTATTAGAACTATGATAAAGTAAGTTTAGAGGCATCCCTCCCCGATACAATTATAGCTGTAAGCGTTGTTTGAAGGTACTTCCTTGGCGACGAAGCGGGAACAAAAGAACTGTCAGAACGCCTCAGGGCATTATGTCCGAACCTGTATTCAAAGGTGATTTTCCTGATTGAATAGCAAGCTGTCAGATTTGTCGCATTTTCTTTCGTAGGATGATGCATGTGTGACGAACGCTATGGAACAGCTGAAACTGGCGTCTGTAGCGAACTCAGCAGCTGCTCGAAGGAACCTCGTAGATCGGGCGTGCGAGCTGTTTCGCCAGTCCATTGGAAAGGTTTCACTGCCGGTGGTATGCCGCAGTTTGGCTGAATGTAAGTACAATGTTCTGCTTTTATATCACTTTTGTTGATTTTCAGTTAAACAGTCGGATCGCCCGGCTAACGCCGAGCTCTCCTCCTTCTCTTTAGCTCGGCTTCGCCGAGCTGGCCTGGCTTCGCCAGGCGCGCTCCATAATTTTAACGCAGCCTTTTTAATAGTGGGCTGCTCATACGGCGCTGTAGGACTCGAATCGTAACAGATAGAGCAAGTCTTAGGATCCTGCACTACTTAGCATACAATGTGTAGTCGGAAAATACAGCGCAATGTGAACCACTCAGTAGAAGAACAGTTTTCGTTTACATCACTTGCACCCGAAATGCCTACCGATGAATGCTCCCCTTTTCAATTAGCATGCGGTACGCTCTCTGAAAGTATTATTATTAGTAGGTACTACACTCCCTTGTTGTTCGTTCTGATCTGTAATTGAACTATGGGTCGAAAGTAAAAAGGGCTTGATGAACGCATGAAGCAAAACTATTGCTCAGGTTTTTCCTCGTTCCGGAGCTTCCTGTTCCAGGCAAACTACACATTCCCCCCCCCTCCCATACCCATAATTTGATCGATTTGAAAAAGATGGAGCAACCCACCCGGAACCTCACGATCCAGCTGCCACCGACAACTTGACGTTCAATTGGGCTTGGGTGTACGTAAATTGTTGTTCTTGTATAAGATGAGGGTATTATCACAATCAGAACAACATCTTAATTTACTCGATTCTGGATTACCCTCGCGGTTTTGCTAGCGGTCGTCTGCTGTCCTCCTCTTCAGCTATTATTCTGCTCAGCGTGCGCTGCGCTCCCCGTCCCCTTCACCGTACATCTCCCCCCTCTACTTCCTTCATATGCACATGCTCAGGCCCAGCTGAGCCACGTACGGAGAAAGGAGAGTAGGGGGTGCCCTCTCTATGCCCCCACCCTGCCCCCGCACGAGCCACGTCCAGCTGCCACGCCAGCAGCTCGTGCAATGGCTCGGAGTGTACCGAATGGTTGTCTTATATAGTGGAGGTGCCTGTTATACATCGAACCTGCATTGATTACATCCTGCACCAATCGATTCTCCGGTTTGCCTAGCGCGTCAGATTTTTCCTCCAGTTATCAAAACCGTGGAAACAATTTTGGGACCGACAGAATAACTACTTACAATAACATACATACATACATTACATAACAATACATATTCATACATACATACAGTACCTACATACATACAACCGGAACACACAAAGTTACTGTTACTAAATTTGAACAGGATTTGCAGTGAATGCGTTCGGATGCATCTGGCGGATTTGTTTTGCTGAAGGCGAAGCGAGACGATCCCAAGCAACTAGCGCTAATTGCATACCGTCATGGTCGTGGCGGGGAAGATCGTGAAATGCAGGCTGCAGAAAAACGACGAGCAGAGAGTTACAAGTGAGCTGGCCATTTTCATATTGTCATATTATTGTAAGACTCGAAAACTCTGCCAGCGTGGATATTGAACTGATTTCATGATTTTCAGGTGCATCACGGATACGCTAGATGATTTGGAAGTAGCTGCCTCAAAGCCATCTCCGACATCGGCTGAAAGCGTAAGTCTAGATAATATGATCCCTGCAACAAGTACTTCTCCAAGTTTTTTTTTTTTTTGGGGGGGGGGAGATGGAAAGAGCGGCACACAAGTCGGCCTAAGGACATTCAAAGGCAAAACCTTGCGATTGCAACGCTATGAGTTGGGCGATTCAACAACGTACCCTTAGTCGCCGAGTATGATTTTCCAGGGGAGAAAAACGCGACAATCATGTTTTGTTTTGTTAAAAAAGCACCACAAGGCCCCTAGCATCTTCCAGTAACGAGATTATGGGACGGCTCGGTGCATTGCCAACAAGCGCTATCCTGCCGTCTCTGACATATCAATAATTTCTTCGTGTGGGGTAATCCTAGAGACTGAGGGCGAGACTACTTGTACAGGGAGGGACGCTTACGAGTTAGTTGAGCGCTCGGACTCTCTTCAAGCGGAGAGGATGAGTTTGGCCTGGGTGATGATGGATGGCTAGCTCACTCGCCTGGTAAGGAAGATGCGTGTTAGAATCTCCCTGGAGTCAAATGATCTGACCACAGCTCACATCCTTGTGGTAACGTCAGTTTGCATGAAGTGTCCTTTGAATCCCTTCTACCCTTCTAGTCGAAGGGCCAAAGGAGAGAGATAGATATTTTTATGTGTCAGTTATCGCGGGATCGGTTGGGCGTTGTCAAGTGCGGCTGCGTTTGGCGCGGTGCCAAACCCGTTCTTCACCAGTTTTTAAAGCGAACAACTGATACGACTGTGTCATATCGATCGTATTGCTCGTTTTCTTCCACTTTTTGTCGCATTGCGCGTTTAAACAAGGAGGCAGAGAACGGCCTCTTGATGCCTGCGCACAACGCATACGGCTGACAGCCCAAACCGTCCGCAGCGAAGTAGAGTGTAAAATGGCTTTCTTATGAAACGCTCGAAAAGTCGTATTTGCATTTTTATAACCAGTGTGAACAATATTTGTTCGCTAGTCGCACACGTTACACATCACGAAATGATAAGGATCCACTAATCGAAGCTCTGTTACTTCTTGTCGGTGATCTTTTCAAATACTGCAGCAATTCGCTTTACTCCTACAGAAAATTTTACTCAAAATTCGGAAGGAAGACCCAACGTAGCGCAGTGGAAAAGACGGACCAAGGCCAATCGTAATTCGCCGCGTGCCGCGCGCGCGGCGCAATGTGCGGACTTGAGCGGCGAATTCCCGATGTGCACCAGGTTATCACCGTTTAGAGGAGCGAAATACAAATGAATTCAAGCGGAGGCAAGCACTCATCGAGATATCTATCAGCTTCCTTCTCTTCAAGCAATTCCCATTCGAAACGGCCAAGCAGAAACATGTCCGTCTCCAGCGTGAACGGCGTCGCTCGCCACGCCCACCGTGCTATATTACGATTGTCTGGTCACATACTCTAGCAGAGGTGTAGGGTCCAGTACATTACTCGTTAAGAAGTAGATGAATGTCTCGTGAGCGTCACCTCACACGTCATGATCCACACGTTCAGTGTTCATTGTAAACCTGATAGGTGACAGTATGGTGTATCAACAACAGCGTACAGCGAGCAATGGACCTGTGCGCACCTGTTTCTAGAAGGAAAACATGCTCTCAATTTTTCGGCGCTTCCGGCTGGGAGGGCATTTTTGCCCTTCACCTAGCTCGGTCTTGCTATTAATGTTAACGTAACTAGGTATTTCCTATTGGTAAGACTTGTAAACCCTCGCGAGTCTGCGAAATGTTGCAACTTTGGCTACAAGAATTTACAGGTCTTTACAAGACGACCTGTGCAGGTTTCAGTCAGTTCCAACTGGTGTCCCCGTCGAGCCGAACTGAGCCCTTTAACCTTTGAAAGCGACGAGTTTTGCATGTAGAAGTGAAATTACCATCTGGCTTAACGTTTTTTGTCCAAATCTCCTTCACTGTTTTTCCCTCAGCACATTTGACCGTCTGGTTACAATAAGCAAAGGTAATGACGCATGACGTTGGGATTTCTTTGTTCTATAATGAGAAATTTAAAATAAGTGTAAAATTTCATGGAAAACGTAGACATCTGCAATGCGCTAACATCATTAACATCGTCCAATACCTGAAACCACATTCGTATCGTTCCAGTCTCACCAGGTTTAATAAATCCTAACGGAGGCTGAACACGGAAAATGTCGGCAGACGTGCATTTAACCTAAAGTTGCGTAATATGTAGAAGGCGGGGGGCAAAATTATCGTTTAGCCTAGTTGTGGAAGCCGCATTAGTAATGCTCGCTGTTAATGCACTTTGTGCTTTACAGGGACACGTCGCAGGTCGCTCTTCCCTCGAGAGATCCTGGTAAACGACCTTGTTTCCCCTTCTAGGGTGCCTTCAGCTGCCCTTACTAAGTACCTCTAAAAATAAGCCCCTTTCGGGCATATTCGGCATTTAGTAGAGGTCTCGGACTGTCTGTTGAGGGGAGTTTTGGGGCTATGTGTCTTGGGAGAGGCCACTCGCCTGCGGTCCATCATTTCTGTTCCGGTAGGGTGTGGTTAACCCTGGCGAGGAAGGCCTCTTCTGGGCCACATAGCGTCTAACTTTTTGTGCAATGCTGTGATTAACTCAGGACGATCAGTTCGAAAATCAGAGCTCCTTCCCTCCTGGGCTCAGGCAAAATTCCGCAAGACCGTTACGGCGATCTTGAAATCCTTTGAATGCTCCCCACTCAGCCGACTTGCGTCGAATCTCTCACTGTTTCTGACGGGTTACGCGCTACTCTGGAGACTCCTCAACTTGAGGTGGGGAACTCGTAATTGCCCTGGTGAATTCGAGGCGCTGTTTGGCGTTAGTGGAGGAGGGGGGGGTTGCATTTCCGCAGTTTTTTTGGTAGTTCCTCTTGAATTGCGCGTCACAGCTTCGTAAGTTTGTAGACTCCTGTCACGGGTGAACGAAACTCATGCTGCTGCTTATCATTAGCGTGGGCAGTGATCGTTGGGAACCAACAAATTGGTCTTACCAAGCCAGACCGCGCCGAATTTTATTTTGTATTGTTGATTTCTGACGTTTCGGGTGCACTTTTCCCTCTTTCCCTCGCTCCTCACCCCGTTGCGCTCCAAGGATACTGGAGGATAATATTGAAAGAGATTTCCTTATGGGTGAACTCTTCTTCTTGCGTTCCCTTCTGGTTCTCTGATTCTCTCCACCAGTATCATTGAAGCTTTTATGGCTTCTGGACGTTGCGCAAAGGAGAGTCGAAGAATCGTTCATGCTTAGCTCTGTCTATGTGAGGGATCGGAAATTTGGATAATCCGAGGTTAATGAACTTTTCGCGGATTCCCCAGTTCCACAAAGTTACTGTGGTTCTAGGGCTGAACGCGGCTACTACTTCCTCTTTTCGGGTACAACATGAAATGCAGAGCTTTTGTTGTTTTTATTTTTGGAAATCTTATTTAAAACTTTATCAGTGTGTTACTTCTTCCAGTAGTAACTCAACACGTCTGTCTTGAAAGCGGCTGTTCATTTCAACCCGAAGGGGCATACCTTATAGCTGTGTTTGTCCTTAGTAGTGTTAGTGACTCGCACATCGCTCCACACCGGTTTCTTCTCTGCCGTACATAAAAACGTCACTTTATTCGGTGTCAAAGACATTTTGAATTCTGGTTCCCCAGGTCTGAAATGGCTCTAACTGAGCAACTGCTCGCTGATGATAAGGTCACAAAGATTATTTGTGAGAGAAAGAGAGTACCTCACAAGTTTTGGTGCGACGTGTTTTATTCTTTCTTACGGTCGTGTTCGCACCTTGTGACCGAGGAGAATAGGGGAATCGCGGTGAAAGCTAAACAAGAATAACTAGAACGAACGGAACGGGGAATCGCAAAAAAAAGCTAAGCATGCGCTTGATCCGGAATCTGGAAGAATGCGCGTGAGAGTCCGCCATACTTTGCGACGGCGTTTTACGAACCTGCGTTTTCAACGCCTATATCGATTCAGCGATTTGAGCTTGCGATCGATACCTATGCTATCCTAGTCGCTGGAAACGCTGGCATACGCTCAAAATGCTGGATCGAAACCTGCACTTTCTCAATAGCTCAAAACAGTGCCGTACACTCGAAAAAGTGACGCCAACGCCCTCTGAAAAATTGTAAGCACACCGACTGATTTATGATCCTCCAATTCTGCCAGTATCGCAACTTTCCTGTTCTACATATCGTAAGATGAGAATGTAACCCTGCAGCTGAGGCTAAGCCAGTAAGTAGTGCGTTCATTACCGGTTGAGTAGGTAAGCTTCATCTTTAGCGGGTTGAGTAGCTGAGGACCCAAGTTCCTTCTTCTTCTCCTTAGACATCTGCAATGAAGTCCTTTGAACAACTAGGCTGAGTCGCTTGAAGGCAGTACCATTGAGGTTTACACTCACATTGCTAAGCGAATGACGTGGTAGCCGCTCCAATGTGAATAAACTGTGAAATGAAATGGAAACTAACCTCCCTTGGTTGTTTTTGCTTGCACTGATACCGTTACCCTTTATCAGAGTCGGTATCAGAAAAACAGTTTTGAGCTTCACGAACATGTTCTACACTACATATCCCCGAGCAGGAGAGGGCGTGACGCGTACATAATTTGAGCATAGCGTAGCAGGCGTTTTAGTAAAGTATTTCCATTTGGAACGACTGTGATATTGTCTTGTGCTGGTGCGGACAAACATGACTATAAATGCCCCAGAATGAAAATCCATCCCATGCGCAGCAAAGGCGCAGCCGCCGCTACGCTCAAGTGGTATGCGCAAACGCCCTCTCCATCTTCGGGATATGTCTCTAGATTTTGGCTTTGTATGATGGGAATGGTTTGTTGCTGGCGGTGGATTCTTCGGTATATTTATCTATTTGATATTAAAAATGTTGTATTCAGGCCGTCAATAGTGACTTGATAATCTCCTGCGTAGTGTCCAGTGAAGATGAGCTGGCGCATGCAGCCCTATTTCGATGGATGCTCGACAGGAATAAGGCAAATCTGATACTCCAGGTATATCACTTTCTTGTCCATTGTCCAATTAGTTGATACTTTTCCATTCATTTAGTCGCACCGTTCTCGTATTGAGCTGAAAATTGAGCCTGAAAATATTATTAACCGGTGATTAGAAGGATATTATTAAGCATCGTGGGGTGTTATAATTGATATGGGCTGAGTGGCGTTTATTTCGTTTGCAAGTCCATTTGGCTACTGTAATTTTGAACAAAGTTGAATGGTGGAATGATCGAATGCGTGTTAGACTGCGCAGATATGAAATTTTAATTTTCATCTTTAAGAGCAAATCACCGTACGTGGAGCAGTTCCTCACCCAAGAAATTAGCTCCGGACGTGGACAGAGATACTTGGATCTGCTGTGGCGATTCTACGAGAAAACAGGAAACTACGATAAAGCGGCCACATTACTCAGCCGACTAGCCGATAATGAGAAGTAAGAGATTTTACGAGGAAAAGAAGAGTTATTGAAACTCCGAGAAAGTATTTCGGATTCTGAAGAACTTTTCAATTGAGTTTTCCAATCATTTTGGCGCTACTTTGGGGGAGGGGTACGAGTAGACAGTATTTGCCCTTCTCTATGCTCTCTCACTGAGACAGTGGTCTTGGGCGTCTCAGGGCACTTGTCAACCGGGAAGCCTCTCTTCTCTTTCCTTTTTTCTTCCTCCATCCTTCTTTTCCTTCCTTCCTTCTCTGTTCCCTCCTTCTTTACCTTCTCCCTTCAACTACTGGGCTAGTAGATGCAATGAGAACGCAACGAGAGCATGTCCGGTTGACAACAGCCCTATAAGCGGGGTTGATCCTTTCATTCCCTCTCCACCTCAGACTTAGGGTCTGCCCTTGAATTTTATGCTGCCTCAATTTTATGCTGCCTCGTTGCTATGAGTGTGATGAATGCCTCTACACGCCTTTTTTATTGGATCATTTTCGTCAATCCTTCGTCCCCTGCCGTTCCCCATCTTCTCATAGCGAAGGTCATCCAGCGGCTCCACGCTATTTCTATGCTGCGCGCTGCGAATGGATAATCCCAGCGGGTAGTCGGAAGAGTTTGGCGGCTGCCCACCGGATTATTCTCAAGTGGACTGATCGACGAAAGCGAATTTTATGCGCTACCATATGTCATTCCGAATTACGAATGACGAATTCTTGAGCGATTGTTCATCCATTTGCACTAATGGATTTTACACTCTTTTCAGTGATGAGATTTCTTTGTCACAACGATTCGCCTACTTATCGCATGCCATAATATGCGCCCAGGCAGCAACAGATGCAAAAACAAAAGCAATGATACAGGATCTCCGAGACAAAGTGGAAGTGGCTCATATACAAATGGCTATAAAGTAGGTTTTACTTATTATCTTATGGTCATTTTGAAGGTTTCGAAGGACCTTAAAAACTTTTCGGAGGTGTTCGGCTTGGGAGGGGCACTTTGTCCTTCTGTTAGTTCCTTTTGCTAGTTCATGTTAATTAACACGTTACACTTTGGTGAGATGTACGAGCTTTCGTGGAGCTGCGAAAATTATAGGTGAGCAACTTTGGTAACAGGAACTCACAGGTCTCCACAAGATGGCCTGAATTTGTTTTGTTGAGTTCTATTCGGTGCCCCACCAGGCGGAACTGCACCGAGTTTTCTAGCCGATGTTTTCAATAACAGTGAAATTGATACCTCACCCAATTCTTACCAGGGATTGCGTGGATCTGCAAACGCCAAGTCAACAAAATCTGGTGAAGCTGCTCGACGGCCCCATTCTTCCGCTGCACGATCTTCTGCAGAAATTCGCGGTAAGCAAGCTGAACATTACGGTGCTAATGGAGTCAACGTAGTTGGGGGGATGGGGTCAGAGCACGTCGTATGCAGGTTATCCCTTGTGAAGGGGGCAGTATTTTGTGCGGAGGGGACCGTCCCACTTGCCTTCGAGAAAAAATGTTGTTGTTGGCTTTTCTTGGTTTTTCCTGTTTCTATGTTTCCAGCTTGACGGTAGTTTTCTGGGGAAGCTCTAGGAAAAAGCGAGAATTTTGGGAAAAGTAGAGAAGAATCGGAGACGGGGAAGGGAGCATGGATCGTAGCAAAAAACTGAAAAAAGGAGTCGGCAGGACGTGCCTCGATGGGGTAGAACCATTCGGCGGTGTCTCTGCCTCCCTTTGACCGAGACAGGCTTAGTGGAGACTACGTCTTCTCTTCGAGACTATCCCTCGGCGACTCTGGCTGTTAGCGTTGTGCCAAGCTTTGGTTGGGAGAGCAGACACAAGGTGCAGCCATGTGATCCCCATTCTATCCTCAACTATTTCATAACCACCGTCACTGTCGGTAGACCAGTAGCAAATGGTTTTCGCCATATTTTCGAGTATAAATTAAAGTGATTACTAACAATTTCAGAGTCCTCTTG